ATACCAAGCTGGCGAGGCACCCGCGGGTAGGAGAGTATGTATAGGTTTCCCCTAGGTACTGATGGCATCGTCAAACGTGCAATTGTCCATACGTTATTTCTGATGACGCACTCTATTTTGGTGATGGGGGTCATGGGATTTCCAGATTATTTTTCAATGTTTCCGATATTACGTTAAAGACTTGAAAGTTCAACATGGTTCTACTATGCGCGAGATTAACTGAATGACAACTACATGTGTCTTGACGTTAAACACAGGTGGCTCGCCACCTTGAAATGCAGAGTCTTTATGGATCTTGCTCCAAATTCGACTGTGGTCACGCAGTATCTGAATCCAAACTAAACGATTTAAATAATTAAATAAAAAATTTTAACAAACCAATATTTGTTAACTTTAATCCAAGCCCTGTGCTCAAATCCCGTAGACAATTTATCTTCAAGGCTACCTACTACTTTGAAAAGTATGACGTGAACTTTCAAAAATAGTTTTATCACTAATCTTGATATTTCTGGCAGAGTTGTCGCCTCAGATTCGGTCGTTCGAAAACAAAATCAACTGCCACGGCAATGTAACAGCCGTCTGACCTACTGGCAACACTGTTATCTGCAGCCTGCACCTAGCTACAGTGACTAGATTATAAATGACGAGCTGTGTGAAAATCTTGCAGGGATGCTTGATAGGAGCCTCGCGTTCGCAAAACCGCCCAACGGGCTGTGGAAATACCAAGACCAGCGACAAATTCGAGTACAGATTGGTGAAAACGAACCGAAGAGACAATGGCGATACGTTACGAACATGAGCCCTCTCCCTCCCTCGGAAATGGTCTACACTGTTACTAAATACTGGACAGGTGGGTGGCTGCTAAAATGTCATACCTGAAGCCATCCTCAACAGCAACATGAAAAAACGTCACAAGCGCCGTATTTATCATTTCCCTACCACTGGAATTGCGGAAGCGTGAAAGCCGCCTACGGAAGTACAGTATAATGTATGGCCCACGAATGTTTCGCAATTCGTCAGCAACGGTCACTCGCTGTCCGGCCGGCTCAAACTCAAATCGTGAACATCAAACATCGTCCTGCCAGTGCCAGACCGACCACGGCTAAAATTCGTCGTCTGATCACCAGTAGATAAAGCTTGACAGTATTTCACCGTAGAAAATAAACTTCAATTGCTAGGTAACAATAAGCGACCCGAAACATAATTCGCACGATGAATGACATGATCAGGCCACGATCGGGAGCCATTCGTTTAGCTGGTGGTACAATGGTGATACTCGGTGCGACTGCGGTTGTGCTGATGACGATCAGACAGCGGATCACATAGTCACCAACCGGTGCCAAGTTCAACGAAGTAATAGCAACGCTACACACGCTTCGCTAACAGTCCGTCGCCTAGTCGCCGAATTCACCCTCAAATGTGTAGTCGTTTTAGCTATTAGCGAGAATTACTAGTTCGCCGATGTGCCACAAAGTAGCACCGAGTGGTGGGTAGCATGTTGGTCAGAAATCAATTCAACTTTACAAATTGTTATAAATGCCAAATGCGATACAGGACCTGATCTGCGGGTCAGCTGTTCATCATCTCGTTGCACCATGTGGCTGAAGCTAAGCATGTGGACGACAAATGCGAGCTGCAGGCGCATAAACTGGCGATCATGGCGTGGAGACAACAGCGAGCCAACGATGCCAGCACAGCACGTCGATGTTGAACTTGGCTATGGACCCAGTTGCACGAAGA